CTCCATCTCCCCCCTTCCCCCAACCCTACTTCCCAAAAACATACTTTCCACTCTGATCTGTCCACCTTTCTTACTGTCACCTGAACCATGCCACACTGGTCCACCCTTCAGAGCCTCTGCATAGCACAGCTTCTCTTAGAGGCCACCCCCTCCGCCTGCCCTGCACCTTTCCAAATTCTACCCCAGCCTGCAATTCCTGCTCAAGTTCCATGTCCTCCGTGAAGCCTCTGAAGTCTCCTCCCCTGCAGTTCTCATCCGCACGCAGGCAGCCATGTCGCATGGGTCCTGAAACAGTCTTAGGGGCACAGGCAGATCAGAAGTAACTATTTTGTCATCAAGGGAGTCCCATTTACAAGTGAAGAGCAGGATGGAGGCAGAGTAGTTGAATGGTGGGCCAGGGTCCCACAGCATGTTCATCTTGTAAAAACAGGATTTGGTTTTTCTAACTGCCGGAACTTCACATATCTGGACGATTATTGCACAACCAAGTGAAGGTGCCAAGGGGTGATTTATAGGGCCTTCAGCCCTTCCCCCAGACCTCTATAAGCTTCCCCATCACCCTGATTAAACACAGAAGTAAAAACCAGGCTTACTATGCAAATATAGCTCCGAGAATACTCCTCTAAGCCCCTCCTATACTGCAGTTCTGGAACTGTCACTGCACACAGGGCATTTAAAAAGGTGACAATGTACTGATTGCCCGCAGACAGTGTAGAGGGATGGGGCCGTCCCCAACTCTATCCTGGATGCCACCTTGTCCTCCACCTCGGAGGGTGCTCCCACCCTCTCCCTATGAGGCTCAGCATCTCACCACTGTCCCGAAGGGTCTGGGTCAAGCCTTCCACCAGGGCCACTGCCTCCTCACTGCTTTCGGGTCGATGCTCTTGCAGCCAGGCCTGAATCTCCCTGGGCAGCATGGTCAGCATCTGCTCCTTGGTGTGAACCTCCGGCCTCAGCCAGCGCCGACAGAGCTCTCGAAGGCGGCTGAGTGCACCCTGCGGTCCTCCAGCCACTTCCTCGCGGGGGCTGCCCTTGCTGGCACTCGGGGGAAAAGGCTCAGACTTAGGGCCGTCCTCCTGCAGCACAGCTTCCTGTACCCAAGAGTCATCCTCCAGGATCATGGTGGTGACCTCCTCCTCCTCCTGTTCATCATCCTCTTGAGGCACCTGGACCAAGGGGCTCAGGGGAGTGGTTACTCTCGGCACCTCTGCAGCCATCACCCACGTCTTTGGGGCGATCACTCAGGCTTCTAGTCTTGAACTTCAGTCTTCTCCAGCCAGGCTCTCTGAGAAGATACTTCCCTCCTTAAATTTCAACAAGTAGCCCAGCTAAGAAATGAGGAAGAGAACCAGAATCAATATGTGAACTGTCCTAAAACAATCCAACTTACAGCAGCCCGGATCAGGCCACCAAGTGATTCTTACATCCGCAAATCAACACAAGTTTCCTGTCTCTCTTAAAGGAAAATGGCTTATTCCTTAAAACCTATTTCTGTGTATAGCAAGAGAAGTTAAGAAGCATCGTAAACACAAAATACACAGCATTTTTCTTTCCAAGAGACCAAAGCCTGAGTATCAGAAATTCAAAGCCCTTGCAAGAACCCAGGACTGAGCTATCCTGCCCTAAGTCAGTTTAGACTTGCTGTGGCAGACTGAGTGACCTTGACCTATTATAACATAACAACTCAAGTCACTCAACCTCACTGACCACACCTAATAAGTACACATAATAACACCCATCCTTCTTGTCCTATGGACCCATCTTAAGGATTATCTTAAATCAAGATGTCAAGACACTTGGAGCCTCATGGGAAGGAAGGCAATATCTCAACAGCATTATTACCATTTTAAGTTATGAAGTTTTAACTTTTCCTACTCTTCAGTCAAGCCTTAGCCACTCATGGATTTATCTTTAAAAATAACCATCTTTGCAAATAGAAATTTATTTGCAAAGACACACAACCATAGCATTCTTTCTAATTGCAAAAAAAAATTGACACATTAAAAATCCAGCAGCAGGGGAGTAGTTAGTAAATGATGGCATATTCATACAATACAGTGTATTAAAAAGTATGCTGATGTAATAATGGCTACCTTTGGGGGGGGTACTGAATGAGAAGGGGCGCAGAGGAGCCTTTGGTGTGCTGGAAATGTTCTATATCTTGATTTGACAATGGTTGCACTATGAAATTTAAGAAGTGTGCACTCTGCCGTATTTTAGAATATTTTTTAAATTATGCTGACAGATTGTTAATCATTAATGATTTAAGATACAACTCATATGAAAATTATGGATAAAAGCAAAACCAGCAAGGCATTAAAATCATAGACACAGTATGACCCCAATTCCCATTAAAAATGAACGCATACATAAGGGAAAAAATAGTGGATGGAAATCTTACAAGATGTTGCGAGCAGTGAAATTATAAATTATTTAGACTATAAAAGTAATGAAAAATTATTTTTAAAATCATTACTATATCATAAAGACTCAGTTAACCCTTCCCCCCCCAACAAAAAAAAGAAAGAAAGAGGGGGGGGGAAGGGAAAACTTTATAAAATAAAGAACAAAATAGAAATGCTAGTGAGAAAACCGAAACTCCAATGTGTATTCACAATGACTAGAAGAAACACAGGTATAACAGAACTCTTACTTGGGAACCCGGGAAATTTTCCTAGTAAGCTATTGTAATTCGCTGTGTGACCCGGAGCAAGACACGCCCCCTCTGAGCTCAGTTTCCCCATCTGTAAAATGACGAGGTGCGCGGGATGATGTCTCTATGGCAAGAGAAGTTAGGGTTGGTTGTGCAAGGAGCCCACGGGTGGGAGAAGAGTCCGGGTGCATTAGCTGAGCGAACCCGCGTGTGAGCCCTGACGGCCAGGGCCCGCGGGCCGCGGACAGCGCCCCCGACGCCCCTCCCCCAGCAGCCTGACAGCACTGGCTCCAGGCCCGTTATTCTCGCGCCTTGGGCTACTCCCCTGGGCCTCATGGCTCCAGGCCTGCCTCTCCAGGCTCACCTCTTCGGAGATCAGATCCTGCTACGGCAGCGGCGGATCCGCCTGCAAAAGTGCCCCAGGCACACGGCACGGCCCCTACAGTGTCACGACTGCTCCGGCCCGGAGGGGCACCGAGAACAATGGACGGGATAGGTCCGCCCCCCGCCGCGCTCAATGGCTGCTGAGAACGGCCTCTGGAAACTCTGCTTTCCTATTGACGGATACAGCGACGGAGGGCGGGAGGCTGGGTCCGGGCATTGTGGGAGATGTAGTCCACCCAGACCACCCGGGCTGCTGGCCCGGGAGAGGAGTTTGTGGTTTGACAACCTGGGCAGTGCCCGAGTGCCCGAGGGCCAGAGCCAGAAAATCTGCAGGCTGGCAGTTAGGACCCCAGTGTTGGTCATAGCTGTGACCTGGAACAGGTCATGTCACTTCTTTAAGGCCTCCTTACATTTATCTGTAAAAAGTGTAAGCTGGATGGATGGACTTAAAGGTCGTTTTCAGCTATGAACTGTGTGACAATTGTTAGGACCCTCGACGGCCAAAAGCAGTCCCTGAGCAGGAAAGCAATCTGCACAGGAAAAGCCCCCCTCTTCGCCCGAACCCGGGGCCCTTCTCCCATCTTGCAGATACTGGCACCTGGCTTTCTGCACGCACCTTTCTTTGTTTTGGCACGTGGTATCCCTGCGTCTGGGGGAAAGCCCTGTCCCTCCTCTTCTGCCGGGAACTCCCGTTCTTTGTCTATCTCCTTTTCTGTGGAGCTTGCTCCATCATCAACTCCCCAGGCCGAGACACCACCCCCAGCACACCTGTTTGACAGGTGACTGTGGGAGGTTGGTGTTCCCACACTTGGTGCTCTTTAAGAAATGGCTGCCCTGGCGCTACATGACAACAGATAAGAAACTGCCTGGAAATACAAGGGGGAAATATAAGAATGGAGAAAGACACTCATAATGATCTATGATAGAACAATTGTGTATATTTGTACAGAGCAATTATTGGAGGCACACACAAATGACTACATTTGTGGTTTTAATTTTCATTTAAGTTTCATTTCACGAAAATTTAACTTTCACTTGAGAAATGTTTTATGTGTATTGGTGATTTTAATCTCATTTTCTATGAATCAATTGTTCATATCTTCTTTCCATTTTTTAAATTAAATTTGCCTGTAAGAGCTCTTTGTATGATAAGAAAATGGTGCCTTTGTTTGTCACAGAAGTTAGTATATTTTTCTCAGTTTGCTGTTTGTCTTTTTGTCATTTTTTAAAAAATAGAACTTTGACATTTTTATGACATCAAATTTGCCAATCTTGTCTTTTTATAGCTTCTAAGTTTTGTGTTATTCCTAGGAAATTCTCTGCACCACTCCAAAGATTATTTGAATTTCACTCATTTTTAATTAATTACAACCGCTAACTAATCCAAGGATAAAGATATAAAGTAAGGTTCAGTTATTAAATCCTATATCCCTGGTAGCACCTTAATATATTAGCCCAAAATGACCACATGCAAACAGCACCACCTCTAGGCTAGCCTGAGAAGTCTCCACTAAGCTCCTGAGTGCAGAATTCCCTGCCACCACGTCTCTTCAGTGGTCATCATTTCTAGAATGCAAGATCTCCAAAATGATTGAGGATGATAATTCTTGGGGATGATCATGTGGTTACAAAGATTTGTTTCTCCACTTTTCCATCCTGACTAGGGATGGAAATTTACACAAAAGGGAAAAGATTAATTTGGTTGGGGTGGGGCTGGGATACTGCTGAAACTTTCCAACAGCCTAAGAGTTTGTTTACCTCTGCTCCTATTCCAAGCCAACCCTTGACCACAAGAAACTGGCACTGTCTTGTCATAGGAGAATCCTGGAGCCAGCCATCTCTGCCCTGTGCCTGATTCTCCAGGAAGTTGGTCCTGGCCAATGTCAACTGTCCCCGGTTTAGATAGAGAGTCACATTTAAGACCAATTCCTGGCATAACGTGGCTCCCCACGCCAGTGCCCTAAGACCAGCCTGGGACAGTAAACAAGCCTAGAGACAGCCCCATTCAATAAGTAGCGCTGCTCCCGCTCCTTTCTCCAAACCACAATGGGGACAGAGGCCCTGTGAGCATTTTTGGTTAAAAGCTTTAGAGAACTACTCTGGCTAACAAGTAAAAGGGACTTACTGAAAGAATATCAGGGTGCTTCCCAGAGTAAATGAGAGCTGAAGGATCAGGTTGAGAACGGTTGGAAACCAAGAAATGAAATAAGGCCCCAAGAACCGCAGCAACAATCTCTCAGCAGAAACAGCCCAGCCCGCCCTCCCCATAAGCCCTGGTGATGCTACAGCCATGTCTGTTTGTCCGCCTTCCTCTCAGGGTTCCAAACCAGGGAGAGAGTGTTTGGTTGGCTGAGCCTAAGTCACATGTCCACCCCCTGGACCCACCAGGGTAAGAGGGGACTGGATGTGGCTCCTAGCTTTCATTACTAATACCACACACAAAGGCATGTTCTCCACTCTGGAGACTGGAGGCCTGTTAGGAAAAATTGGACAGGCAGAAATGACCTGTCTTCAGATGCTCAGCAAGAAGGGACCTTGCCACAAGGAATGCTCAGACTAAGGCCCTGAGGGCTCTGATGGCAATGCTAAAGGTGCTTTCCATAACACCTGGTCACAGGCAGGGCCAACAACCCTTGAGCAGACAAGGCCCTGACATTGAGGCAGGGGGGCCTTTAGGCCCTGGGGATGCAGGAAGTAACTCCCCCCACCCAAGACCCCCATCATTGTGTAACCCAACCTACTTCATGGATGTCAGAGTAAGAAGGGAGAGAGTCCTCTGGTTGTACGAATGGTGTGTGTCTCACTTTTTTCTAGCTATGCCAGAGAGCCAGGGCCACTCGATGTGATTGGGAAACGGTCATTTAAATGGACAGTATTGTGGGATGCCATAAGACTGGCCCAAAGAGAAGGAGAAGACTAAACAGGGATTCATCGCAGAAATGCCCAGACAAGAAGAGAAACTAGAGAATGGGGTCAGGGAAACATTTATTTTCAAGAGGGAAGAGTGAAATTCAGTCCAAGGAAGTGTCGCTGAACAGTGGCGAAATTACGTATCACATGGCACACGGCCATGTAAAAGGAAGCTAGAGCAGGATTCTTTTTTCAGGATGGAATTTTTTTACTTCCCAAGGCCAGTATCTTTTCCTGTTTGTTTGTTTGTTTGTTTGTTTGTTTATGAATGGTTTGTATTTAGTGTGACACAGGGAGGAGGCCCTTTGGACCTTGTGTTCTTCAAGGGACACTCGCTATTCCCTGTCTCCATTGTCCTGTGCTGGCCAGGGCCTCTCTAGCCCCTTTAGTGCCAAGAAGGAGGAGAATGGATTTGCAGCCTCCGGCCAGTTCCCATGCCCTATGCTGAACTGCTCTATTCAAGGATATTCCTGGGAAGGCTCAAGGGTGCTCCAGGCTGGACAGGGCGACTTGAGAGGCAGCCCCAGGGTAGGGTGCTGGTGCCAGGACACAGAGCCACCAGTGCTACAGGGATGAATTGAAACAGCTAGGAAGAAAAAGAAAAAAAAAGACAGAAATTTATATGCATGTGCGCACACACACACATATAATCCCTAGGCTGCTGAGTTCATAGGAAGAAAATTATCAATAGAATTGTCGACCATTTGAAAGAGAAAAAAAATCTTGTAACCTTCAGTAAAAACTTGCAGTGCGCTTAGCATGCAAAAGAGGCTTGAAGACAAGTTCCCTAACCCATTTGTCAAATCAGACTGCTGCTCCTAAGCTACTCCCTTACAAATACTGAAGTCAATCACTATGAGATTTACTGAGTCACACGGTCTGGGAGGCAGAGACATCCCCTAGGAATAGTCTGGTGTCATGGGCTTTTTGCCCTTATGGGCTTACTATTGTGTGTTTGATTTGCTACACACACATGTGCACACACACACACGAGCAACCTGAATTTTTTTTATTTATAAAACTCAGAATGCACTCAGAAATCAGGAAGAATTTTTTTTTTAATATTTTATTGGGGAATCGGGGGAAGGGGAACAGACAAGTTGCTGTTGTTTTTGTTCTTCAGTCTAGTTGTGGAGGACGTTGCTTCACTGGCCCAAGCTGGCACCATCATTGCGCTCTTCCCAGGCGAGGCAGATCCGTCTCCGGCTTCTGGACGGCCGCTCAGGGCAGCTGCTGGCCGCTCACGCTGGCTGCTGGCTACACACGGTAACCCATGGCAACCCACTGCAGCAGGGGACTGCAGCCGCCGTCGCCGGCCCAGCTCCAGGTCAAGCTGTTGTTCAGCATCTTAGCTGTAGAGGGCAGCGTCACTGGCCCTCATATGTGGGACCTGACCCGGGACCCTCTGATGTCCCAAGCCAGTTCTTAACCATCGCACCACTCGGCCGGCCCAGGAAGAATTTTTTGAATACAAAAAATTTAAAATCTCTGCATAACATAATAGGCCATAAATCATTTTGACAAAAAATAATGACAAAGTGGAAAACATGTTTTTAATACATGTGACAAACCAAGGGCCAATTTCTAATTTACTATAAGTTTAGCCAAATGAGCATGAAAAAGACCCAAGAACTCAATAGAAAAATGGGTAAAGGATAAGAATAAGCAGGTCACACAGAAAGGGGAGACAAAAAGTTTAACCCCCACTGGTAATTTTTAAAATGCAAATCAAAGCAAATATGGGTAATGTTTGGAACATCTAGCCTCGGAATCCCATTAGCCTTTTAAAAAATGAGGTTGATTTCTATATGCTAATAATCTCCAGGTGGGTGAAAAAAGCAAAATGCAAAACACTGTGCTTATAATATGATATGTTTTGTGAAAAAATGTAAAGGGAAGAAACATTTAATATATATGCTGAGAGATACCTAATAAATTTTTCTTTTTACACAAGAAATACACAAGAAAGTGTGAATGGTGATTGGCTTTATAGAGAGGGACTGGAAGACAAGATGGAGACTTTTTTACTTTTATAGTTTCCTGAAATGTTTTGACATTTTGCCATGCATGTGCATTTTTAAAAAAATAATAATGGAGTTAAAGAATTTTGTGTCATTTCCTCTTAAAACTTTTTTTTTTTTAGCTCAGTAGCAGCTCAGCTCAGGCTGGGAACCGAACCAGTGACCCTGTTGCTCAGAGCTCACACTCTTGAGTGACCTCTTAACCAACTGAGCCACTTGGCCAGCCCTTAAAACTTCTTTGTATTAGAAAAAAAAGCACTGATGAAGATGGTGGGACTCTCATTCACTGCTGGTGGGAATGCAACATGGAACAGGCACTTTGGGAGACAGTTTGGTGGTTTCTTACAAAAATAAACATGCTCCTACCATATAATCCAGCAGTCACGTTCATTGGTATTTACCCAGAGGAAGTAAAAACTTATGTCCCCATAAAAACCTGCACACGGATGGTTATAGCAACTTTATTCATAATTGCACAAACTTGATAGCCCCCAAGATACCCTTCAGTAGGTGAGTGGATAAATAAACTGTGGTCATCCAGACAATGGAATATTATTCAGCACTAAGAAGAAATGAGCTCTCAGCCATGGAAAGACATGGAGAAACCTTAAATGCGTATTGCTAAGTGAAAGAAGCCAATCTGAAAAGACTACATACTGTCTGATTCCAACTATAATGACAGTCTGGAAAAGGCAACACGAGGGAGACAGTAAAAGAATCAGTGGTTGCCAGTGGTTGGGGCAGGATGGCAGGGAGGGTGGGATGAAGGAAGAAGTGAAGCACAGAAGATATTTAGGGCAGTGAAAATACACTGTATGATACAATAATGATGGATACATGTCAGTATACCTGTGTCCAAACCCAAAGGACATACACCACCACAAGTGAACCCTAAGGTAGACTGTTGAAGAATGAGTGAAGAAAGGATGAAGTCAGTATAACTAAGCTGACTTAATATGGAGTCTGTATAGTCAAGCTGACAAAACTGGTTCAGACCAAACAGGCTGAAGGATAAGGAATAGATTTTTTTTTTTTACCTTAAATAGCCTGAGGACTTAAACTTTGAACTTTTCAGTTGTGCCTGGAGGAAGACATGTAAATCCTATAGATTACCCTCTGAAGGGCTTAGGAAAGAATGTTCACGTGTTCAGACAGCCTGACATCCATCACCCAGACCACCAAACATCTGGAAGATTACCATCACTAAGATTACTTAGCAATCCAGAGGCTAAGAATGCAGGACTGATTCTTCTCAAGAATG